AGAGTCAGTTCGTCCTTAGGGAGAGTCAGTTCATCCTTAGGGAGAGTCAGTTCATCCTTAGGGAGAGTCAGTTCATCCTTAGGGAGAGTCAGTTCGTCCTTAGGGAGAGTCAGTTCATCCTTAGGGAGAGTCAGTTCATCCTTAGGGAGAGTCAGTTCGTCCTTAGGGAGAGTCAGTTCATCCTTAGGGAGAGTCAGTTCGTCCTTAGGGAGAGTCAGTTCGTCCTTAGGGAGAGTCAGTTCATCCTTAGGGAGAGTCAGTTCGTCCTTAGGGAGAGTCAGTTCATCCTTAGGGAGAGTCAGTTCATCCTTAGGGAGAGTCAGTTCGTCCTTAGGGAGAGTCAGTTCGTCCTTAGGGAGAGTCAGTTCGTCCTTAGGGAGAGTCAGTTCGTCCTTAGGGAGAGTCAGTTCGTCCTTAGGGAGAGTCAGTTCGTCCTTAGGGAGAGTCAGTTCGTCCTTAGGGAGAGTCAGTTCGTCCTTAGGGAGAGTCAGTTCGTCCTTAGGGAGAGTCAGTTCGTCCTTAGGGAGAGTCAGGGAGAGTCAGTTCGTCCTTAGGGAGAGTCAGTTCGTCCTTAGGGAGAGTCAGTTCGTCCTTAGGGAGAGTCAGTTCGTCCTTAGGGAGAGTCAGTTCGTCCTTAGGGAGAGTTCAGTTCGTCCCCTGGGAGAGTTCAGTTCGTCCCCTGGGAGAGTTCAGTTCGTCCCCTGGGAGAGTCGGTTCGTCCCTTGGGAGAGTCGGTTCGTCCCGTGTGAGTCGGTTCGTCCCTTGGGAGAGTTCAGTTCGTCCCCTGGGAGAGTTCAGTTCGTCCCCTGGGAGAGTCGGTTCGTCCCGTGTGAGAGTTCAGTTCGTCCCTTGGGAGAGTTCAGTTCGTCCCCTGGGAGAGTTCAGTTCGTCCCCTGGGAGAATTCAGTTCGTCCCCTGGGAGAGTTCAGTTCGTCCCATGGGAGAGTTCGGTTCGTCCCTTGGGAGAGTTCGGTTCGTCCCTTGGGAGAGTCGGTTCGTCCCGTGTGAGAGTCGGTTCGTCCCTTGGGAGAGTTCAGTTCGTCCCTTGGGAGAGTTCAGTTCGTCCCGTGTGAGAGTCGGTTCGTCCCTTGGGAGAGTTCAGTTCGTCCCCTGGGAGAGTTCAGTTCGTCCCCTGGGAGAGTTCAGTTCGTCCCCTGGGAGAATTCAGTTCGTCCCCTGGGAGAGTTCAGTTCGTCCCATGGGAGAGTTCGGTTCGTCCCTTGGGAGAGTCGGTTCGTCCCTTGGGAGAGTCGGTTCGTCCCGTGTGATAATGGTGATAGAGAAGGAACATCAGTGTGTGTACAGCAGAGGAGGTACGTGAGCTTGTAGGTGTGTGTGGACCAGACGCCCGCGGCTAGTCACACCAAACTTTGCCTTGTCATTTGTGATATTATGGCGAGTTTCATAGCGGTAGGGGTGTCAACAACGCCCTTCTGTAAGTGGGATTGTCCTCTGTTGCAACAGTACGAGTTCTCTCTAGTTTAATATGTGGGTTTGATTGTTCAGGGTGTGTTAAAAATTATTTATCGGCTGTTAGGCATCTATCATACATACATGCATGCATGCATACATATTCCCACATGTGGTGTGGGAAAAAAATTAGTAGTAGTAGTAGAAACAGTTGATTGACAGTTGAGGCGGGCCGAAAGAGCAGAGCTCAACCCCTGCAAGCACAACTAGGTGAATACAACTAAGTGAATACATACACATACATAGCTGCAGACGAGAGTAATGAGTATAACAACATTGACGCCCCGCGCGGCTCCCAGTTAGTGAGTCTCGTATCAAACGCAATTTACGGGAAATAACATTAATTTTGGCTGACAGTAAAATGGGTGCCGGGGAAATGGTGGGGAGGAGGGGAGGTGCCGGGGGAATGGTGGAAGGGAGAGGAAGGGGAGGTGCCCCTCTACCCAAGGGAGGGAGCAAAGCATTGGCAAAGAATTATAGACCAGTTGCACTGACGTCCCACATAATAAAAGTATTTGAGAGAGTGATCAGGAGTCAGATCACTACTTTAATGGAGAGCAATGACCTCCACAACCCAGGCCAACATGGATTTAGAGCAGGAAGATCATGCCTTTCACAGCTACTTGATCACTATGACAGTCACTGAGGCATTAGAAGAAAAACAGAATGCAATTATGTGGTATACACGGACTTCGCAAAGGCATTCGATAAATGTGACCATGGCGTGATAGCACACAAAGTGAGGTCAATGGGAATAACTGGTAAAGTAGGACGCTGGATACTCAGTTTTCTGTCAAACAGAACACAGAGTAACAGACAATCAAATAAAATAGAGTTCAAGCGCAGTTAAAAGCTCTGTACCTCAAGGTACAGTCCTAGCACCACTGCTTTTCCTTATTCTCATATCAGATATAGACTCAAATACAAGTCACAGCTTCGTATCATCCTTTGCAGATGACACAAAAATCATCATGAAAATTACCTCTTTTGAAGACATTGAAAACTACAAGCAGATATTAATGAAGTCTTCGACAGGGCAGCAGAAAATAACATGATGTTTAACAGTGATAAATTCCAGGTACTCGGGTACGGTCAAAATGAGAACCTTAAACATAATACAGAGTACAAAACGCAATTAAATTTGCCCATAGTAGGAAAGCAGCATATAAAGATTTGGGAATAATAATGTCTGACGACCTAACGTTTAGGGAGCATAACCAAGCAAATATTGGTGCAGCCAGAAAAATGATAGGATGGATTATGAGAACTTTCAAATCCAGGGATCCCATCACAATGGTTGTACTCTTCAAATCACTTGTGCTGTCCCGTCTTGAGTACTGCTCAGTACTCACTTCCCCCTTCAGAGCAGGAGAGATTGCTGATATAGAGGGAATACAGAGAACATATACGGCATACATAAACGCGATAAAGCACCTAAATTATTGGGATCGTCTCAAAGCTCTGCAAATGTACTCACTAGAAAGGAGACGAGAGAGAGATCAAATAATATACACATGGAAAATACTGGAGGGCCAGGCCCTAAATCTGCACAGTAAAATAACAACGTACTGGAGTGAACGATATGGAAAAAAATGCAGAATAGAACCAGTGAAGAGCAGAGGTGCCATAGGCACAATCAGAGAACACTGTATAAACATCAAAAGTTGTTCAAAACCATCTCAGCGAGCATAAGAAATATTGCCGGAACAACCGTGGACATCTTCAAGAGAAAACTAGATAGTTTTCTTCAAGAAATGTCGGACCAACCGGGCTGTGGTGGGTATGTGGGCCTGCGGGCCACTCCAAGCAACAGCCTGTCGGACCAAGCTCTCACTAGTCCAGCCTGACCTCGGGCTCCTCCGTGTCCAAGCTCTTTCTCCACACTATACTGAGTGCCTGTGCTACTGGCACTTTGCATTTCTTTATAAATATTGAATTCCATGAGTCTGGACCCAGGGCTGAGTGCATGGGCGTATTGTCAATTTCTCTTTCAAACTCTGCTACGCTCATGTTGATATCAGTTATATTTACAGGTGTTTGGATATCATTCATAAAGATATTGTCCGAATCTTCCACTATCATGCTGTGTATCGGAGTGCTAAACATGTCCTCATACTGCTTTTTTAGGGTTTCACTTATTTCTTTGTCATCCTCAGTGTATGAACCTTCACTAATACGAATAGGTCCAATACTGGAAGTGGTTTTTGATTTTGATTTAGCATATGTGAAGAAATATTTTGGGGTTTTCTTTATTTCTTGAATTGCTTTCTGTTCTAGTTGCCTTTCTTCAGTCTGATAGGAATGCTTCAGTCTCTGTTCGATTTATTCAATCTCCCTGTTTAAATTATTTCTTCTTTGTATGGAGAGTCGTGTCTGCTTAAGCATTTCCGTTAATTTCTTCCTTCTTTTGTAATGTCGTCTGCGTTCTCTTTCTACATTGGACCTCTTTCTGGCTTTCCTCAAAGGAACATGTTTCAGACAGACTTCATATGCTTCAGAAGGCAGTTTTTCTATTCCTTGTGTAGGATTGTTATTTCTTAGAACAGTTCCCCATTGAATGTTTGTAAGTTCCCTGTTTATTTTCTCCCAGTCTATCCTTTTATTATTAAAATTGAATTCATTGAATAAACCTTCTCGCTTGTTGTTTCTCTTGGACCCACTACCATTATTAATGTTAGTTTGCACTTCAATGATCTTCTGGTCCGAGTACGTAGTGTCTGAGACAGTAATGTCTCTGATTAGCTCATCATTGTTCGTGAATATTAGGTCCAGCGTTGTTTTCGTTCCTAGTTGGCTGTGTAATCTGTAATCACAGAATCTCAGTAGTTCTCTGACCTGTGATTGGTTATTTCCAGGTTGGTTTCCTCCTATAATGTTATTGTTTACTATTCTCTATTTTAAACTGGGTAGACTGAAGTCTCCAAGGAAGATAATATCTGTTTAAGTTTTCAGCCTTTCAACAGAAGTTAGCAGTCGTCTGTTACTGTTCCTGTATCCACCTGTGTGTTAAAAAAAGGGGCTTTTACCTGGCTTTTCACAACCAAGTATCTTTTGCAAGTTTTCTCAAGTTTAAATTTGTGATGTGTTTACTACACCTTACGGATAGCATCAGCCAGTCACCACCTCCTTCCCCACCTCCCTAGCCTCACTGCCACTTACCTGTGTTACGGGTCCCTGGCAGTAGTGTGCGGCTCTGCTCCTGTCTACTGGGAACAGTCTATCATTGTTTTAGCGGCGGGTGATGCAGCCAGAGCTATGATAATCAATTGGCGAACCTCGGGTCTTTCTGCTACCGTAATATAATTAGGTTGTGTCCTGAGGCGCTCGCCTTAATAGCCACCTAATGTATAGATATAAAGTAGCCCGGTTAAATGGTGCGAGACAATTCAGATATCAGCCGGAAGATGTCATTATCGCACTATCAAGATTACACGTTATCAGTTGGAGGAGTGAGAGGGGCCCTGGCAGCCGAGCCCGTGCTACAGTGACGCGCGGCCGTCCCTCAACAGTGCTCGCTCCTGTATATACTCTCACGTACATCTGCTCCGGTGAATGGAAACCAAAAAAATCGCCCAATAACAGTATATTTTCCAGTGGTGGCGCCTGGATGAATGCAGTGTGTGATATATATTATATATGTGCGGGGTGAACTGGGTGGCCGGCCAGGTGGTTTGTGGCTTGGCTAGACGCCTCTGTTAGCCTGGCGAACTTACGATGGCATTTTTGCTATACTGTTCCTCTTAAGTTCAGTTGAGCGATAATGTTATAAGCTGTTCTTGTGTTATTATATCCCATATATTTTCTTAGAGAACCTTGGCCATGCAAGTCAGCCTTAATTAATACAAGTGATGAAATACAAAGGAAGACTGTGTGGTACTTTTAACATAACGTTTAGAGATGAAATGTTAATGGAAAAAATACACATAAAATAGATTTCCTTGTGATAGTTATTATTTAGCAAACGATCAAAGTGATGGCGAGTGTTAGGTAACAATATTGACTGTCACTGCATAATAACTGAACACAATCAGTGTAATTGTACCATTATTTGCAATATTCTGAAATGCGTTAATTGTTTTGTGTGGAGTTGTAATTATGCAGATCATGTTATTTGAACCCTTTGACAAACATTGGGAGTAAATTTGTGATAAATTTTATGAAAATATTAATTTTACTGCAACTCAATTAACGCAATTATGACCAGCTGAAACTTTAGTGTTTGAGGGCATTGATGCAGTAGGCCTACCACTACCAAGTCCGTTTTAGGACTTTGATGCTTATTTTACAGCAAAATAGCAACACCTTATTAAGGAACAGTATGTAATCGTTTCACTACAGTATTAACTTGAGGATTTCAATTCGTATGTGCAGTTAGGAATATATTAAGGCACTAACTAGCCTCCAAAACCAAATTTGGAGTTCTGACGTTATTTATTGATTCATTTAGGGCTATATGGTACTCCTTGTAAGGATATCGTGTGTATGTGTACTACGGTACGATATCTTCAGCGAGCGCGGTGCTGGTGGCTTGATAACTACCACCACACTTAGAGTAATAAAACCCACTTGCTGTGGTGCCCGTTTGACTACCAGTATAACGGTCACCCCTTCGCTCACTCCCCGTCAACACCCCGTCATCAACCACGCAAGCCCCCCCCCCACATCAACCACGCACGCTCCCCCCCCCCCACATCAACCACACCACCACTCCCCAACTTGACCAACATCTCCCCACTGAACACAACCAAGCCTCTAGACTAGAACAGTATAGCACATTTTGACGTTTAAATCCCTTGAAGCCAGAAACTGATGTTCCGTTTTCTATCCGTGGGTCCTCGGTTAGGTTAGGTTCGGGCAATTTAGTACACCACTTTAGTGACGTTGGGAACGATCACAGTCACAGAGTTGGGGTGATGCGCCCTCTGCCTGTGTGGTTCGTGTAGTGAACGTGTGATGGATTGGTGGCGTTCTTGTGGTAGTGGGTCAACCTCTGGTGATTGGTGGGGTTCTTGTGGTAGTGGGTCAACCTCTGGTGATTGGTGGGGTTCTTGTGGTAGTGAGTCAACCTCTGGTGATTGGTGGCGTTCTTGTGGTAGTGAGTCAACCTCTGGTGATTGGTGGCGTTCTTGTGGTAGTGAGTCAACCTCTGGTGATTGGTGGCGTTCTTGTGGTAGTGAGTCAACCTCTGGTGATTGGTGGCGTTCTTATGGTAGTGAGTCAACCTCTGGTGATTGGTGGGGTTCTTGTGGTAGTGAGTCAACCTCTGGTGATTGGTGGGGTTCTTGTGGTAGTGAGTCAACCTCTGGTGATTGGTGGCGTTCTTGTGGTAGTGAGTCAACCTCTGGTGATTGGTGGCGTTCTTATGGTAGTGAGTCAACCTCTGGTGATTGGTGGCGTTCTTATGGTAGTGAGTCAACCTCTGGTGATTGGTGGCGTTCTTGTGGTAGTGAGTCAACCTCTTGTGATTGGTGGCGTTCTTGTGGTAGTGAGTCAACCTCTGGTGATTGATGACGTTCTTATGGTAGTGAGTCAACCTCTGGTGATTGGTGGCGTTCTTATGGTAGTGAGTCAACCTCTGGTGATTGGTGGCGTTCTTATGGTAGTGAGTCAACCTCTGGTGATTGGTGGCGTTCTTATGGTAGTGGGTCAACCTCTGGTGAGACATAATTGCACTCGTCTTGGTCTACGACAGCGTGTACTATGATATTTGGGTGTGGACTCAGGCATTTGAACTTATAGGATCGGGTTTCAGCTCTGGAACCTCGCCTTCCTAGCTCTTGGACCTCGCTGTTAAATTTTTAAATTTTGTTCCGATGGGCCGTTGATTGGGCAGCGCCACTCATCCTGTGAGTGGACACACCGCCATAGTGACAGTATTGGGCAGCGTCACTCATCCTGTGAGTGGACACACCGCCATAGTGACAGTATTGGGCAGCGTCACTCATCCTGTGAGTGGACACACCGCCATAGTGACAGTATTGGGCAGCGTCACTCATCCTGTGAGTGGACACACCGCCAGTGACAGTATTGGGCAGCGTCACTCATCCTGTGAGTGGACACACCGCCATAGCAGCATGTACAACACTCCCCAATAGGAAGAAAACCCGCTGGGTTGTTCATCCTGTCACTTGTACCCAGACACAGCTGGAACTTGCTTAACTGTTTCAAGTGAACGGCTCCTCAAACAAGATTAACATTCGTCAACCCATAAAATCTTACGCTATTTTGCGAGTGCAAAATGGGGGAATCTTTTAAGAACAGTATCAATATTTGACAAATAGAGGTTTTCCTAACTCAAACAATGTGGGGTTTATTATTCTACACATCTAATGTCTCTCAGGTGTTCGCATTCACCTAGATAGTGGTCTAGGCGTCACTCTCACCACAGATTCTGCAACTCCGCTGCTCAACTGTTGTTTCCATTCCGAATCTCCATGGATATTTGTATCCAAGACGGATTCTCGCTATTACTGATTCACTCCCACGGCTACCTCCTCTTCGTCCATAATGATTGGGATTGCCAGCTGCAACCATGTTGTACCATCGTACAGATTCACTGGTTTATGCTTCTATCCTCCTTTCCTCAGTTACCTTGTCACGGTGATGTTGTCTGACAATAACTCTTAATTTGTAGAAGTCTTGGGTATGAAGTATTCAATATGGTCTCCTTCAGCGCCTTCAGCAGCCAGCACATCTGCTCGTTCATTCCCACATATTCCAACATGGGAGGGGATCCACAGAAACCTGATGACTCTTCCCTGATTGGTTAGTACTCTCACAGCTCTCTTAATTTCAGCGACTATTGCAAGATTTTCGGCCCGATTTTTACTTAGGCTTTGTAGCGCTGCTTTTGAATTAGTGCAGATCACTGGGCCTTTAGTGCTTCGTTCAAGGCATCTTAACACCATAACAATGGCAGTTAGTTCTGCTTGCGTTGAAGAGGCATAGTTCTCAATACGTGCTTTTTCTTCATTTCTGCGTTGAAAAGCATTATTGACAGAATTAGATGACCTGTCAGTGTAGATTTGATCTAGTTCATCTCCGGCTTCTTTATAAATTTCCTCGAGATACTTGTGCCTCATTTCTTGTGGTAACATGTTGGATTTTTTCGTTGTCATTTCATTGATGATAATCTTGCATGAGTCATCCTCCCAGGGAGGTAACCTCTCTACAGGAAGGAACTCACGGGCTTGCTCAAGCAGGTGAAGTTCTTCGAGGAAGCAGTCTGATATGTGATGCCATTTTTTACTTCTGTTTTCTCCTGTTAGCAGCACAGAACTCAGATTTTTCTTGGCTATCATTGTAATAGGGATCTCTGACTTCTAATTGCAAGCTTAACAGTCAGTTCCTTAATTCTGCTTTTAACACTGAGGAGGGACAACTCTTCTCGTAGATTTGACGTTTTGGCAGTTCTTGGGACTCCAAGACTAATTGTCATGGCTTCATTTTGAATGCTTTCGAGCCTTTTCATATCGCTTTGGGAGTAGGTGCATAAAACTGGTGCGGCATAGTCTATGACGGAGCGCACATAGGCTGTGTACATCATTTTAAGCACGACAATAGAGGCTTCATGTCCATTCCAGGTCATGGCTTTCAGTGCCCTGAGTCGACTTTTGCATGTTCCTATGAGTTGGTTGAGCTCCTCTTTCTTCCCCTTGTTAGTGCCGACAGTGACGCCAAGGTACCGATAGTGGTCAACCCATTCATGTGTCACACCATTAATTTGTAGTTCTTCATTTGCTCCCCGCTTGTGATGAGAGTATGCCTTCGTCTTGTTTGTGGAGAGAGTGAAACAGAGCTCAACACATTTCCTTCCAAGGAGTTCAATGGACTGTTTAATTTTTCCCAAGGTGGGAGTTTGTATTAGGACATCATCTGCATATCCCACTTGTTGCGTCCCTTCCGGAAAATCAATATTTGCAATGGCATTCATAAGTACATTGAATAGTGTGAGGCTTAAGACTCCTCCTTGGGGGTCCCGAGTTCCATATTCATTAAACAAATGAACAAATGAACAAGGGCCGTGACGAGGATTCCAACCTGCGTCCGGGAGCATTCCATATTCATTGTTTTCGAGACTGCTCCGTTGAAGCAGACCTTGGCTTTCCTCCCTGTGAGGTAGTCTTCAATCCATTTCAAGAGTCTCCCCTTGACACCCCGGCCAATTTTTTCATCATATATACGTATAAAAGTACTAATGGCGTTCGCTTTTACAACATATACTTGTTGTTCATTTCGTTTTCCCAATATTACGCAAAACAAAAAAAAAGTTGCTCATCAGTTGTTCTCAATCTTCCATTCCTGCCTTCTAGTTCTGTTGGTATTAATGGTGAACACTGCCTCCTCTTCCTTTCTATCAATCCTGTAAGTATTGAGAAGTCTCGATCATGTCTCCTCCGTGTATGGAGGCAGACTCCATACACAGTTTCAAATGTAGATATGATAGAGCTCAAGAAGCTCAGGAATCTGTACAACTGTAGATTGACGGTTGAGAGGCGGGACCAAAGAGTCAAAGCTCAACCCCGCAAGTACAACTAGGTGAGTACACACACCTAAACTTCCCCCCCCCCCCCCTTCTCTTATTATGTGTGTTCGCAAGTATTCACGTGATGTCTATAAATGTCTACGATATCACTGTAGTTAACGACCTTGTTCACTGTGTCGTCACAGGGTACACCACCAGGCCCAGGTGAGTCTTACACCTGGGTACGCACCGCTCTAGTGTGACACCGCCAAACAGTGTACACCACTATAATGTACCACTATAATGGAACACCACTATAATGTAAACACTCCTTATCCTGAGTAACACTTCCCTATTGGTTGCACTTGGTAACACTGTTATGGGCTGACATATGATGGTTACACCGGAACCAAAGGTACACTGCCAATAAGGAAATGCTAACACAAGGATTAAATACGCTGCCACCATCTGCCCTTGACCATTGAAACTATATCAAGCAGCGAGGCAAGAAACATTGCTTGACTTGGAGAGTACTTTCTATGACTGTCATTAATTATGGAGACGGTTGTCGGAAAATCCGACACCATTTAATATATCATACAGATAATAGCTGTATTGTATAAACAAGTTACCCATAGAACACGTAACTTGTAGTGGAATTACCGTCTAAAGAAAACGGGATATCATCACCACATACTATTATAAATCACCACCTATTATGGTGGGAATTATTCTTAAATACATTAGTCTTTGGACTTTACCATCATAAAAACATCTCATATAAATTAACTTAATTATCAATATTAAAGTAGAGTAAATGTGACCCTTCTATCACTCTCTGAAATCTGGTCAAAGTAGGCCAGGTGTCAGAGGGAGGACAGGCTCACACGGGAGCAAATTCGGCTCCTGTTAATTTATTTACTTGACGGCCATTGTTGTCACCTCAGACGTGTGGAGCAAATTCGGCTCCTATCATTCTGGACAATGTCGGCCAGTAACGTCAATAGTTTGGAGTGTTAAACAGCCATTGTATTGAGACCAGAGGTCACACGGGAGCAAATTCGGTCCTGTTAAATTTACTTGGACGTAGTGTTATGGAAGCCAAAGGTGTACCATTGTCAACACGCTGTCTACAAATTCAAGTTAAGTCTATCCGAAACCCGTTTATCATTCATTTATGGCCATTAATGTCAGGATATAGGGTGACCCGGTTAGATCGCGAAATCGCCTCAAACTAAAGGTAATTAAGCCAGGTCTTTAATGTTCCATGTACAGTTTTCTCTGATATACTTGTCATATATAGGATTCTGGCTTCACAGTTAGCGCCCTTTTGACAGGTCAAGACGAGGAAGAGTTTGTGCACCAGTTACCTGGGTGATATGGAAGCTACCTCAAAGAGGATAATTTGGTGTCTACACCCTAGTTATACCTGGTGACTAACCTGCTGTACTATAAGATAAGGAACCTCTTCAATGTATGTAGTTAAATTTGTAGTTTGATTGGCTGCATATATATATAAACTAATAAACCCCCCCTAATGTGTAGAGGATCGATTTGTGAGATTAAGAGATTATTGCAGAAATACAGTCCACTTATCATTATACAAATTGCTATCGAAGTATATAAATTAACGTAAATATAAATTCATATAAATTAAATAAATATAAATCTCACAGGTCGGTACCCACAACGGTTGTCAGCCACTATATCCAAAAGGCTTAGAGGATTCAACAATTGACACAGACGGGAAATTTAAACGAGTTTATTGAGACCAAAATTATGTCAATCACCACTTATAAATCCTACTCTAACACTGGCAAAAAGTTAAGAAATTTGGACATAGAACAAAACTCAGAGATCACACACATTACCTTAAGACCTGTCTCTCCCTGGCTGAGATGATCTTCACAGCCCTCTCTGGACCCCGGTGTCCCGCACTCTGAGTTCCCTAAGTCCCTAAAGGGACCTCTATATACAACCCCCACAGGGGGGAGGGGGAGATCTGCTGTTGCTACCCACCAAGAGTGTACAAACACTCAAGAAATCTTTCAAAAAGCTTGTTTGACATTCACCATACACTCTTCAAGAGAGGAGTTATTAATTACATGTGTGACTGACCTCTGACCTGGCCAAAAGGGGGAGATCCAAGGATGTTTACACATAAGAATCTGGAGTCTAATTCCCTTGCATGAAATATTACATACTTGAAACTATGCTGACTAAGACTAACCCAGGAATTTTTTTTAATATACAAGATGAACCGGAGGTCATCTGGGCTGACCTCTTGAAGAAGGCTTCCCTGGGTGTGAACTCTAAGGGGGGGGGGAGGTCCTGGGTGTTACAGTGACGGCTGTACTCAGCGGCCCGGCTACAACCTGTCCTCTTACCAAGACCGTCGCATTTCGCACGTATGCGTTACACAAGGCATTGTCGTACGAGAAAATGGAAGCAGCTCGCGAAAGTGACGTACTGTCCCGTTTTCTGTTTTGGGTCCTCTGGTAGGTTAGGAGAAGGACACTTTAAATTGACCGTTTTCTTGACGTTGAGAAACCTTAGAAGGACTTACTGGTTAGTGGGCCATCTTACTTGATAATGTTCACTGCCTGAAGCATTAAGGAGAAATTAATTGTAATTACTGTTTTGTCCAATTCGGTCACGCTTTTGAAGACAGACAAGTCTGAAGACAAGTCCTAGAACTAAGAGGCATGAGTTAGGAGGAAAGGCTGAGTGAACTGCACCTCACGTCGCTGGAAGACTGAAGAATCTGGGGAAGGGGGGGGGACATTGAAATTGAAACAAGTTTTTTGAAGTATATAGAGCTAAATTATTAACACACATGCTGAGAACTCGAGAGGTAATCCTGGATTGTGAGAGTTCGTCTAGACCCAAGCCCAGCCTGGCGCCAGGCTTGTCTTGAGATAACATGTTCCATCAAGCTGTTGCTTGGCGCGGTCGCAGGCCCGCATATATACAACCCTGTTGGTCCGGCACGTCTTGCAGCAACTTTTCTAATTGTTTCTTGAGCGAGGTGTGTAGCCCGGGGAATTACAGACAACTGAGACATGTGGAGAGGACTTACAGCGACCCCTTCACTGTCGCCGCGTTAACTGCCCTCCCAACACGCCTGATCCACGCGCTACTATTCTGGGAACAAGTTTCCTCGCGATACATGTATTCTTGGCTTGATATTAGGCTATCTTGGGCTCCCAGGGTTTGTTTCTTAATATATTTACATCTGACTTGCTTGTTTGACTCTGGGAACAAGACCATTTGCTTAACTTGGTTGAAGTAATTTCTTGGTAAGAATTATAGTCCATTGAATTGAATATTTGTATTCATAAAAGTGGAGGTGCTTACATATCTACAGCCTCATAAACTTTATTTGTTGAATGGTTTCATATTTATATTTGACAAGACAAAGTTCAGGGAATTATTCCTTTATACAAGAAAATGTTAACTTCACATTTAGCGATTATTATTAGAGACTTGACAGGCAGCAGAACGGTTAGTGCTGCCTGTTAATCCTATTGATAAGGAATGAATTAATCGGGTAAATAAAATGGAAATAAAAAGGGTAATTGGGATAAAATTATAAGAATTTTAAAATTATATTTTAAAGTTTTAAGGTTAGGTTGATTGTTCTTGGTGACTGTGCTAGGTTGATTGTTCTTGGTGACTGTACTAGGTTGATTGTTCTTGGTGACTGTGCTAGGTTGATTGTTCTTGGTGACTGTGCTAGGCTGATTGTTCTTGGTGACTGTGCTAGGCTGATTGTTCTTGGTGACTGTGCTAGGCTGATTGTTCTTGGTGACTGTGCTAGGCTGATTGTTCTTGGTGACTGTGCTAGGTTGATTGTTCTTGGTGACTGTGCTAGGTTGATTGTTCTTGGTGACTGTGCTAGGCTGTGTTCTGATTGTTCTTGGTGACTGTAGGCTGATTGTTGATTGTTCTTGGTGACTGTGCTAGGTTGATTGTTCTTGGTGACTGTGCTAGGTTGATTGTTCTTGGTGACTGTGCTAGGCTGATTGTTCTTGGTGACTGTGCTAGGTTGATTGTTCTTGGTGACTGTGCTAGGCTGATTGTTCTTGGTGACTGTGCTAGGTTAGGCTGATTGTTCTTGGTGACTGTGCTAGGCTGATTGTTCTTGGTGACTGTGCTAGGTTGATTGTTCTTGGTGACTGTGCTAGGTTGATTGTTCTTGGTGACTGTGCTAGGCTGATTGTTCTTGGTGACTGTGCTAGGCTGATTGTTCTTGGTGACTGTGCTAGGTTGATTGTTCTTGGTGACTGTGCTAGGCTGATTGTTCTTGGTGACTGTGCTAGGCTGATTGTTCTTGGTGACTGTGCTAGGCTGATTGTTCTTGGTGACTGTGCTAGGCTGATTGTTCTTGGTGACTGTGCTAGGCTGATTGTTCTTGGTGACTGTGCTAGGCTGATTGTTCTTGGTGACTGTGCTAGGTTGATTGTTCTTGGTGACTGTGCTAGGCTGATTGTTCTTGGTGACTGTGCTAGGCTGATTGTTCTTGATGACTGTGCTAGGCTGATTGTTCTTGGTGACTGTGCTAGGCTGATTGTTCTTGGTGACCGTGCTAGGCTGATTGTTCTTGGTGACCGTGCTAGGCCGATTGTTCTTGGTGACCGTGCTAGGCTGACTGCGCTAGGCTGACTGTGCTTGGTGACTGCGCTAGGCTGACTGTGCTTGGTGACTGCGCTAGGCTGACTGTGCTTGGTGACTGTGCTAGGCTGACTGTGCTTGGTGACTGCGCTAGGCTGACTGTGCTTGGTGACTGTGCTAGGCTGACTGTGCTTGGTGACTGCGCTAGGCTGACTGTGCTTGGTAACTGCGCTAGGCTGACTGTGCTTGGTGACTGCGCTTGGCTGTGCTTGGTGACTGTGCTAGGCTGACTGTGCTTGGTGACTGCGCTTGGCTGACTGTGCTTGGTGACTGTGCTAGGCTGACTGTGCTTGGTGACTCCTTGGTGACTGCGCTAGGCTGTGCTTGGTGACTGCGCTAGGCTGACTGTGCTTGGTGACTGCGCTAGGCTGACTGTGCTTGGTGACTGCGCTTGGTAACGGCTTGGTGACTGCGCTAGGCTGACTGTGCTTGGTGACTGCGCTAGGCTGACTGTGCTTGGTGACTGCGCTAGGCTGACTGTGCTTGGTGACTGCGCTAGGCTGACTGTGCTTGGTGACTGCGCTAGGCTGACTGTGCTTGGTGACTGCGCTAGGCTGACTGTGCTTGGTGACTGCGCTAGGCTGACTGTGCTTGGTGACTGTGCTTGGTAACGGCTTGGTGACTGCGCTAGGCTGACTGTGCTTGGTGACTGCGCTAGGCTGACTGTGCTTGGTGACTGCGCTAGGCTGACTGTGCTTGGTGACTGCGCTAGGCTGACTGTGCTTGGTGACTGCGCTAGGCTGACTGTGCTTGGTGACTGCGCTAGGCTGACTGTGCTTGGTGACTGCGCTAGGCTGACTGTGCTTGGTGACTGCGCTAGGCTGACTGTGCTTGGTGACTGCGCTAGGCTGACTGTGCTTGGTAACGGCTTGGTGACTGCGCTAGGCTGACTGTGCTTGGTGACTGCGCTAGGCTGACTGTGCTTGGTGACTGCGCTAGGCTAGAGAACATTCTGGAAGACAAGTTTACGGCGCTTCTGATTTGCTTTAGCTTGATCCCGTTGTTTATTTCGATAAAAAAAAAATGTTGATAGGGCAATCTTTATCTTTCTGAGAAGCGATGACTGGTTAGATAAGAAGGAAGGAACATGTGCCATTAGCTGGGCGAATTCTCTCTGGTAGTGGCTGGTGAATCCGCACAAGTGTATAACTTATAGTATAGTCAGGTTATACAGATATACACATCTTTATAAAGATATACAGGTCGGGTACCTGTGTACCGCCACCAAAAGAAAGTGTACATGAATAAAAATTACATTTTATATGGGATTAATAAAAGTAGTCATTAATATTACCAAAAGTGCAATATAATTTTTTTGTTTTTCACCATATGAGGAAGAGAGAGAATGTGTGAGAAGCTCTCGTATTTTGGTTTTGTTTAGTTAGTGCACAGCTTGTGTACGTTTTCTTTGATGCGGCTGTACAGTTAATTATCGCAGGGTGTTGACTCCCTTCACAACGTCACTAAACTGATGTACTAAATTGGCCGAACCTAACCTACCCCGAGAACCCACGAATAGAAAACGGGACGTGACGTTAATTTTGCGACGACGTGTCGGTTACAGGCCGTCCTGGGACGTCGCGTGAGAGAATGGAACAATGGGAAGATGTATTCAAGTAACGTTTTCATGCAACAATTAAAATAAATGTGGAAATTTTAACTTGAGTCACTTCCCTGATGGCTGAGACCCCCCCCCCCCTAAGATAGGTGAGGTCACCCCCCCCCCCTCCCCCTCAAGTTAGGGGATGTTTCTCCCTCTCCACCATTCTCACTCTCCGTGTCTGCCGTTCTTCCACTGGGCAAAACATGCTAGAGTAATGTCGAGTAAACTTTGACTCAAGGTTATGGAGGGTGAAACATGTCGATTCAACGCCCATAACAGCCGAGAAACATGTTGGGGGGAAAAATGCTATCGACATGCAAATTCACATTTAAGACTTCATGGGACTCGTTGGTTGTCACAAATGAAGCCAGTCCTTTAAAGAAGAGCAAGGGGACGTTCACACCCAACCACCCTATGACACTCTCCACACACACACACACACACACACACACACACACAATCACCCTGCAAAGTTTGGTATGGCTAGCGTCACGCGGCCCCACAACCTCTCATACACGTTCTCTTTATAGCTATACATGTATCTTTATTCACAAGTTTTCATTCGATGTTTAACGTCTTTTTCATGTCAAAATAAGAATTCCGTGTAGCCTAAATATTATTGCAAAGTTTTTTTTCAAGCGATGGTGGTGTGTGTGAGACTGTTGGCAAGCCGCCGGCTTCCTGTCACTGTCGAGGTTACTAGGGATGGTTCAAGTACGTTTATTGAGACCATAAAATACATCTCAAAATGATAAGAATGTACAAGAATGTAACAACTCTTGTATATATCTCAAAAAAAAAAAAAAGATAAGAGTGGCTTAGGCTATTTCTACCCTCCTCTAGGGACGTTGGCTCTCTGGTAAATATGGAGCTGTAAGTTAGTGTTCTCAAGTTTGTACACATGTGGTAATATGTGTAGTGACGGGTTTATGGTGCTGACCTGGTCGATATCGTCCCCGTGACGGGTGACAGACAGCTCCTGTGACGGGTGACAGACGGTCCCCGTGACGGGTGACAGACGGTCCCCGTGACGGGTGACAGACGGTCCCCGTGACGGGTGACAGACGGTCCCCATGACGGGTGACAGACGGTCCCCGTGACGGGTGACAGACGGTCCCCGTGACGGGTGACAGACGGTCCCCGTGACGGGTGACAGACGGTCCCCGTGACGGGTGACAGACGGTCCCCGTGACGGGTGACAGACGGTCCCCGTGACGGGTGACAGACGGTCCCCGTGACGGGTGACAGACGGTCCCCGTGACGGGTGACAGACGGTCCCCGTGACGGGTGACAGACGGTCCCCGTGACGGGTGACAGACGGTCCCCGTGACGGGTGACAGACGGTCCCCGTGACGGGTGACAGACGGTCCCCGTGACGGGTGACAGACGGTCCCCGTGACGGGTGACAGACGGTCCCCGTGACGGGTGACAGACGGTCCCTATGACGGGTGACAGACGGTCCCTATGACGGGTGACAGACGGTCCCTATGACGGGTGACAGACGGTCCCCGTGATGGGTGACAGACGGTCCCCGTGACGGGTGACAGACGGTCCCCATGACGGGTGACGTTGCGTACTGTTCGTTGCGACCTTGAGTGTGTAAGGACGTTGTGGTCCGTGGTGGACCATGATGAAGGCGTGCGTGATCATGGTTCACGACGGACCACAACGTTTTCGCTTCTCCAGTTTCTGATGTGTGGTGTGGTCATCATTTCTTCAGCCCCGTTACTGTGACTCATCGTCTGCTTACCGGCACCTGAACTGTGTGTTTTAGTGAGAGTATCGGTGGGCGTCGGGGCGGGCGTCGTAGTGGGCGGGCGTCGGGGGCGGGCGTCGGGGTGGGTGGCAACTTCCCTACTCACACTCCCGTAGGGAAATGCATCACATTTAACTATAGTTATTTATATATCAAACAATTTATGATAATTTTTCCTCGCGTGTACAAAAGTTTGGAGCATGTAACGCTGTACGAAGTGCGCAGGTTAGTTCAGGACCCGAACTGGTGAACAGTGAATTTTAAAAGATATATAGAAAATATTCGCTTAGAACGATAACGAGTGATAATAATAATAATAATAAATATGGTAGTGGTTGAGTGAATAAGAAAAGTGCATGATTGCGGAGCTTGGTGATCTACCTGGTGATCATAGCTTTACCTTATCAGCTGACGTAATGCTCGAGGGATACGAGCCACTGAAGAAGGGCCACAGGCGCACACAGGCACCACAGGCAGTGGCGCCCCTCGCCCCGGGGCGCAGCACCTAGCTCCTCACACCGTCGGCCACACACACAAGGCGCAGCACCGGTGGCCGACGATGCACGAGAAATTAGTTATCAGTGAGGCGAGGACGGGGGCTGGGACGGCCCTGGCCAAGCTCCGACGCTGGCTACACCCCGGACGGCTGGTCCCTGCACGCTGGCGGAGGTGCCCCGCCTGCACCAACAGGAAGCACAACTGCGTCTGCTGGCGCCACAACAGGTCTGACCACTGATCAACACCTCTTTATAATATTTACACATGCACACAACAAATATTGTTAATATATCGGTACAAAATAGAATGGAAACAATTGGATCAGTTTAAATTGAGGTCAACTTTGGGAAACTCGGGTGTTGATATGTGGCACCAATTACTGTAACATTATAAACGTGGTAGTGATGGATTGTTTCAAGCGTAGGTTAGACAGATGTGTGAGTGACTGGATGAATATAAATAGAAGATGCCTGCTAACGGCCAACTACCTTGTGTTTATGTATCTTGTGTAGCTTCCAGGGGATCAGTGGCCTCACGACCTGGTCGGTGGTCAGTCTCCCCGTGGTGTAGTGGTAAGACACTCGCCTGGCGTTCCGCGAGCGCTATGTCATGGGTTCGTATCCTGGCCGGGGAGGATTTACTGGGCGCAATTCCTTAACTGTAGCCTCTGTTTAACGCAACAGTAAAATGTGTACTTGGATGTAACAACGATTCTTCGCGGCAGGGATCATATTCCAGGGACCATAGGATTAAGGACTTGCCCGAAACGCTACGCGTACTAGTGGCTGTACAAGAATGTAACAACTCTTGTATATATCAAAAAAAAAAAAAAAAAAAAAAAAAGAGACCGCGGGCTTTATCATTGAGTCCGCACCAAGCCCCGCCTTTCAAACATTGAAATTATTTAGTAGTTTAATGCAGTTAATGTGATCTTCAGATTTAATTACCGTAAATATATTTAAAGTTGTATTGGCTGTAAAAGCCGGAGTTATAACTGGCGTTGTTTCTCACATGTGAATAATTTGTGTCTGTGCCTACCGTCCGTGTCCCCTTGTTCGGTGTCCCTAACTTTGGAACAGTGCTTCCATGTGTGGTTTGTCAGTGCCATTCTGAACATTCTTTATCATTATTATGGTCCTGTCTCTTCTCTAATGCAGCCTGGTGAAGCCCAGCTCCCTCAGTCTTTGTACTTCAAGCCTCATACCTCCGGGATGAGTCTCATTGCTTTGGTTTTGTGGCCTTTTTAGGTTTTTAGGTGAGATGTGTGCCGGGGCTGCATACTCGGGAGTCTCACATCTAGATTGTACCTGTATGGGGGTTCTGGGAGTTGTTCTACTCCCCAAGCCCGGCCCGAGGCCAGACTCTACTTGTGAGAGTTTGGTCCACCAGGCTGTTGCTTGGAGCGGCCCGCAGGCCCACATACCCACCACAGCCCGGTTGGTCCGGCACTCCTTGGAGGAAACTATCTAGTTTCCTCTTGATGTCCACGGTTGTTCCGGCAATATTTCTTATGCTCGCTGGGAGGACGTTGAACAACCGCGGACCTCTGATGTTTATACAGTGTTCTCTGATTGTGCCTATGGCACCTCTGCTCTTCACTGGTTCTATTCTGCATTTTCTTCCATATCGTTCACTCCAGTATGTTGTTATTTTACTGTGTAGATTTGGGACCTGGTCCTCCAGTATTTTCCATGTGTATATTATTTGGTATCTCTCTCGTCTCCTTTCTAGTGAGAACATTTGGAGAGCTTTGAGACGATCCCAATAATTTAGGTGTTTTATCTCGTCTATGCGTGCCGTATATGTTCTCTGTATTCCCTCTATTTCAGCAATCTCTCCTGCTCTGAAGGGGGAAGTGAGTACTGAGCAGTACTCAAGACGGGACAACACAAGTGACTTGGTGGCTACAGTGCGTAGTTACAAAAAGTAGTGTCTAAACAGGAAGATCAGTAGCATGATCAGTATGACCGCTATGTTCACTCACAGCTGACGACACATTGGTTGTTATAGTACTCGGGAGTCTCACACAGGTTATAGTACTCGGGAGTCTCACACAGGTTATAGTACTCGGGAGTCTCACACAGGTTATAGTACTCGGGAGTCTCACACAGGTTATAGTACTCGGGAGTCTCACACAGGTTATAGTACTCGGGAGTCTCACACAGGAGTCGGGAGTCTCACACAGGTTATAGTACTCGGGAGTCTCACACAGGTTATAGTACTCGGGAGTCTCACACAGGTTATAGTACTCGGGAGTCTCACACAGGTTATAGTACTCGGGAGTCTCACACAGGTTATAGTACTCGGGAGTCTCACACAGGTTATAGTACTCGGGAGTCTCACACAGGTTATAGTACTCACACAGGTTATAGTCTCGGGAGTCACAGGTTATAGTACTCGGGAGTCTCACACAGGTTATAGTACTCGGGAGTCTCACACAGGTTATAGTACTCGGGAGTCTCACACAGGTTATAGTACTCGGGAGTCTCACACAGGTTATAGTACTCGGGAGTCTCACACAGGTTATAGTACTCGGGAGTCTCACACAGGTTATAGTACTCGGGAGTCTCACACAGGTTATAGTACTCGGGAGTCTCACACACAGGTTATAGTACTCGGGAGTCTCACACAGGTTATAGTACTCGGGAGTCTCACACAGGTTATAGTACTCGGGAGTCTCACACAGGTTATAGTACTCGGGAGTCTCACACAGGTTATAGTACTCGGGAGTCTCACACACAGGTTATAGTACTCGGGAGTCTCACACAGGTTATAGTACTCGGGAGTCTCACACAGGTTATAGTACTCGGGAGTCTCACACAGGTTATAGTACTCGGGAGTCTCACACAGGTTATAGTACTCGGGAGTCTCACACAGGTTATAGTACTCGGGAGTCTCACACAGGTTATAGTACTCGGGAGTCTCACACAGGTTATAGTACTCGGGAGTCTCACACAGGTTATAGTACTCGGGAGTCTCACACAGGTTATAGTACTCGGGAGTCTCACACAGGTTATAGTACTCGGGAGTCTCACACAGGTTATAGTACTCGGGAGTCTCACACAGGTTATAGTACTCGGGAGTCTCACACAGGTTATAGTACTCGGGAGTCTCACACAGGTTATAGTACTCGGGAGTCTCACACAGGTTATAGTACTCGGGAGTCTCACACAGGTTATAGTACTCGGGAGTCTCACACAGGTTATAGTACTCGGGAGTCTCACACAGGTTATAGTACTCGGGAGTCTCACACAGGTTATAGTACTCGGGAGTCTCACACAGGTTATAGTACTCGGGAGTCTCACACAGGTTATAGTACTCGGGAGTCTCACACAGGTTATAGTACTCGGGAGTCTCACACAGGTTATAGTACTCGGGAGTCTCACACAGGTTATAGTACTCGGGAGTCTCACACAGGTTATAGTACTCGGGAGTCTCACACAGGTTATAGTACTCGGGAGTCTCACACAGGTTATAGTACTCGGGAGTCTCACGGGAGTCTCACACAGGTTATAGTACTCGGGAGTCTCACACAGGTTATAGTACTCGGGAGTCTCACACAGGTTATAGTACTCGGGAGTCTCACACAGGTTATAGTACTCGGGAGTCTCACGGGAGTCTCAACAGGTTATAGTACTCGGGAGTCTCACACAGGTTATAGTACTCGGGAGTCTCACACAGGTTATAGTACTCGGGAGTCTCACACAGGTTATAGTACTCGGGAGTCTCACACAGGTTATAGTACTCGGGAGTCTCACACAGGTTATAGTACTCGGGAGTCTCACACAGGTTATAGTACTCGGGAGTCTCACACAGGTTATAGTACTCGGGAGTCTCACACAGGTTATAGTACTCGGGAGTCTCACAAACAGGTTATAGTACTCGGGAGTCTCACACAGGTTATAGTACTCGGGAGTCTCACACAGGTTATAGTACTCGGGAGTCTCACACAGGTTATAGTACTCGGGAGTCTCACACAGGTTATAGTACTCGGGAGTCTCACACAGGTTATAGTACTCGGGAGTCTCACACAGGTTATAGTACTCGGGAGTCTCACACAGGTTATAGTACTCGGGAGTCTCACAAACAGGATGTTATACAGCTGCTGATGTTCAGCTTCATCAGCAGTTGAGTCAGTGTCATCCTGCAGAGGTCACGGGTCAGTTACTGCTGGTGGTTCACCCGTCGGGTCCTCTGCCTGCTGACCCCATGCTCTCCTGTTGTGAGTGGGTCCCTGGTCTTGTGGGGGGCGCTGTGGTCCCCTTCTGCTGTGATCATCAGGGCGCTGTGGTCCCCTTGTGCTGTGATCATCAGGGCGCTGTGGTCCCCTTGTGCTGTGATCATCAGGGCGCTGTGGTCCCCTTGTGCTGTGATCATCAGGGCGCTGTGGTCCCCTTGTGCTGTGATCATCAGGGCGCTGTGGTCCCCTTGTGCTGTGATCATCAGGGCGCTGTGGTCCCCTTGTGCTGTGATCATCAGGGCGCTGTGGTCCCCTTGTGCTGTGATCATCAGGGCGCTGTGGTCCCCTTGTGCTGTGATCATCAGGGCGCTGTGGTCCCCTTGTGCTGTGATCATCAGGGCGCTGCGGTCCCCTTGTGCTGTGATCATCAGGGCGCTGCGGTCCCCTTGTGCTGTGATCATCAGGGCGCTGTGGTCCCCTTGTGCTGTGATCATCAGGGCGCTGTGGTCCCCTTGTGCTGTGATCATCAGGGCGCTGTGGTCCCCTTGTGCTGTGATCATCAGGGCGCTGTGGTCCCCTTGTGCTGTGATCATCAGGGCGCTGTGGTCCCCTTGTGCTGTGATCATCAGGGCGCTGTGGTCCCCTTGTGCTGTGATCATCAGGGCGCTGTGGTCCCCTTGTGCTGTGATCATCAGGGCGCTGTGGTCCCCTTGTGCTGTGATCATCAGGGCACTGCGGTCCCCTTGTGCTGTGATCATCAGGGCGCTGTGGTCCCCTTGTGCTGTGATCATCAGGGCACTGCGGTCCCCTTGTGCTGTGATCATCAGGGCGCTGTGGTCCCCTTGTGCTGTGATCATCAGGGCGCTGTGGTCCCCTTGTGCTGTGATCATCAGGGCGCTGTGGTCCCCTTGTGCTGTGATCATCAGGGCGCTGTGGTCCCCTTGTGCTGTGATCATCAGGGCGCTGTGGTCCCCTTGTGCTGTGATCATCAGGGCGCTGTGGTCCCCTTGTGCTGTGATCATCAGGGCGCTGTGGTCCCCTTGTG